CCTCTCTCTCTCTCTTCTCTCTCTCTCATTCTTACTCCTCACTTCACTCTCTCCTCTCACTCTCACTCTCTCTCTCTCTCTATCTCTATCAATCTATCTATCTATATCTATCTCTATCTATCTATATATATAATATATATATATATATATATATATATATATATTATTACTTTATCTTTTTACTATCATCATTGTTATTATTTTGTACCTCCGCATTATCCTCATCTCCTCTCGCCTCATTTTCTCCTTTCTGAATCTTTCATCATTTTCCTTGTAAAACCGCCCCCCCCCCCTTGTCCTCCAAGCACGCGCCCACCGCGCCCGCCAAACCGAGGCTGTTGTGTAACCATAAACCTCACCCTCACCCTCACCTCACCTCACCCTCACCCTCACCTCGCACCCTATCTCACCCTCAACGCTGTAGTAGGACGCCCCCCACCTTACACCCTCTCCCTCCACCCCGGCCTCACCTACAACCCTCTCCCTCCATCCCGGCCCCTCACCCTAACGGTGTTTAACCCTCATTTTCTCCTACCTCTCCTTCTCTCACTCTCACCCCCTCTCTCCTCTAACCCTCACCCTCCTATTCTCTTTTCCCTCACTCTCCTCTCTCTCTATGAAACAATGTCACTCGCACATGCATTGTGACAGCGGATGCAACGGCCGGCAGGTGTCGGGTGACTTCCGATGCGCCTCCACCTGTCGCTCACTCGCTGCCCCTCCTCTTTCTCCTCCTAATCCTCCTCTTTCTCCTCTTTCTGCTTCCCCTCCTCCTCCTCCTCCTCCACTCCCTCTTTGTTCTCTTTCTCTTCTTTTTCCTCTTTCTCCTTCCACTCCTCTCTTCCTCCTCCACTCCCTCTTTGTTCTCTTTCTCTTCTTTTTCCTCTTTCTCCTTCCCCTCCTCCTCCTCCTCCACTCCCTCTTTCTCCTCTTTCTCTTCCTCCTCCTCCTCCTTCCCATCTTTCTCCTCCTCCTCTTCTTGCTCCTCTTTCTTCATCCCCTCCTCCTCCTCCTCTCCCTGTTTCTCCTCTTTCTCTTCTTTTTCCTCTTTCTCCTCGTCCTCTTCCTATTTCTCCTCCTTCTCTTTTCCATCTCCACCTCCTTCTCCTATTACTCCTACTTCTCTTTTCCATCTCCTCCACCTCCTTCTCCTATTACTCCTCCTTCTCTTTTCCATCTCCTCCTCCTCCTTCCTCCTTTCCTATGTCTTTATTTTTTTTCTTTTGCTTTTAATATCGTTCCGTACTTATTCTGCTGGGATGTGGAGAGCGGTTATCATCATTATTATTATTTTTATTATTCGTTTTACTCCTCGCTCCTTTCCTCTGTCCTTATTCTGTTTTTTCTTCTTCTTCTTTTCTTTTCTCTCATTTAATATCATCCCATATTTATTCTACTGGTTTATTGAGAGCTGTTTTATTTTTTTTTTTTTATTATTATTCGTTTCACATTTTAGCGTTTATGCCTTGACAAGAAAAAAAAGTGTAATGTGAAAGTCCCCTTTTTTGTCGGTCATTTTTTTTTTTTTATTATTATATTTGGTACAATTTCATAACGGTTGTGTTAAACGGTATCCGCCGGTAACAACATGGAGGATACTAATTACTTCTTTTTTTCATAATTACCATTTTCATTATCGGAGATATTTCGTTTTAAATGCTACAGAAGAAAGAAAGAAAAATGTAGAACTTTTGATTTTTTTTTTTTTTTTTTTTTTTCATTGTTCAAGGGAAGTTTAGATTCTGTTCGGTGGGCCTCCCTGACGCGGCATACAAATCCGGTGAACGAGAGTCTCCGGCACCTTTCCCTGGCTCCTGACCCCTCCCTCCCTTCTCCTCCCTCTCCCTCTCCCCTCTCTCTGTCTCTCTCACCTTTCTCTCCCCTCCTCCCTCCTTCCTTCTCCTTCTCTCCTCTCTCTCTCTCCCTTCTCTCTCTCTCTCTCTCCTCTCTCTGTTCCTCTCTTTTCTTTCTCTCTCTCCTCCTCCTCCCTCCTCCTTCCCTCCTTTCCTCCTTCTTCTCCTCTCCCTTCCTCTCCTCCCTCCCTCCCTCCCTCCCTCTCCCTCCTCCCTCCCTCCCTCTCCCTACCCACCTCACCCCCCCTGTCACTTTCAGTCACTCTTCAGAATACCGATTACTCCGCTGACAAAGCTATATTTATATCTATTTGTTGATGTTTTTGGTGTATTGCGAAATCCAGACAGCTGGGATTTTATGAGGGTATGAGGGAAGGAGTGGTGGAGAGGAGGGGGGGGGAGAGGGGGGAAAGAGTGGTAGGGAAGAGGAGGAGGAGGGGGGGGGGAGGTAGTCTTGTGTTAGGATCTAAAAGAAGAAAATAAATTTATTCGTCTGGTGGGGCCTGTTGTAACGACTTGCATTCCGGCTCACTTGCGATGCGAACGAACTTTCCAAGATTTTTTTTTTTTTTAGATAAATAACGAGTATGTGATCATTTTATTTTTATTCACAAGAGTGTGTTTGGAGATATTTCGATACGTATTCGTTAACGAGGAAACTGATGCAACTCGTTTTCATTATTCAATTAACGGAGTCACTTGTAAGGGTAATCGCCCCGTGATGACGTATTACTTCAGATGTCATCGTAGTTTGAAGATGGGAAGGAAGGAGGAGGAAGGAAGGGGGGGAGAAGATGGGAGGGGCTGAAGAAGTGAAAGGGGAGATGGGAGAGGCAGGGATGAAGGGTGGAGGTGGAAGGGGCAGGGATAAAGAGGGAGGTGGAAGGGGTAGGAGAGGGAGGGAAGGGGCAGGAATGAAGGGGAGGTGGAAGGAGCAGGAATAAAGAGGGAGGTGGAAGGTGCAGGGGGGGGAAGGTTCAGGAATGAAGGGGAGGTGGAAGGAGCAGGAATAAAGAGGGAGATGGAAGGAGCAGGAATGAAGGGTGGAAGGAGCAGGTGGATTGAAGGGTGAAGTGGAAGGGGCGGGAATAAAGGTGGGTGGAAGGGGCAGGACCGGGGAGATGGGAGAGGCAGGACTAAAAGACTAAAAAATAGGAGTGGCAGAGACGTAACTAGAATGGGAGGTGGAAGAAGCCAAATAACTAAAGGGGAGGTGGAAGGAGCAGAATAAAGAGGAAGTGGTCGGGTAAGAACTAAAGGGGAGGTGGAAGGAGCAGGAATAAAGAGGGAGGTGGAAGGAGCAGCAGCAGGCAGCAGCTAAAGAGGGACACTTTAACCCAGAGTCAGGACGTAAAGAGGGAGGTGGAAGAGCAGGAATAAAGAGGGAGGCAGGACATAAAGGAGGTGGACAGGAATAAAGAGGCCAGGAATAAAGAGGAGGTGCAGGAATAAAGAGGGAGCAGGAATAAAGAGGGAGGTGGACGGGACAGAAGGACCAAAGGAGGAAATGGGAGGAGCGCCAGAGAGAGCCAGAGAGGGAGGAGGCAAAAGGGGCCACACATAAACCAGCCACGCACAACGGCAGCATTCGACGGCAATTTTGACCCGTAACCACATCTGGGAGGGAAGGCGAAGGGGCGGGGGGGGAGGGGGGGCCCTTGACCGCATGCCCACGTGGTCAGGGATCGGGGGCCTGACATGCGGGTGCCACCGAACGGGCTGCGGCGGGAGGCTGGGGTGGGTGGGGGGGGGGGGTGCGACATCATGCAACTCCTGCGGCTCCTGGTTGCGGGAGAATGAGAGTGGAGTACGTGATTCATCTTTCTGTAAAATGATTTTATGTTGATGTATGGTCTTTTTGAGAGGCCAAGGGGATGATCTGCACAATGAGGAAATGGGCAAGGAATAGAATAATGTGCTTGATCACGACGAGGAAAAGATATATGGATATTTGGAGGGAAACGACGGTCGAGAACGAATACCAAAGAATGCAAGAAAGAGGAAAATAAACTTCACTTGAGGGGACTTGAGGCCCTCGGTGCTTGCGAAAGAAAACAAAACAAAAATCAAAAGCAAACAAACAAAAACAACAAGCGTATATTAAAGATAAGAATAGACACAGATCAATAATTTCGAGCCATATACGTCACCGCTGTTTGTTTTGGTCCCCCTGACCCAGGCGTAAACCAAAAACAAAAACAAACAAACAAAAACAAACGTATATTAAAGATCAAAACAGACACAGATCAATAATTTCGAGTTATACGTCACCGCTGTTTGTTTTGCCCTCCCCTAACCCAAGCGTAAACCAAAAACAAAAAACAAACAAACAAAAAGCGTATACTAAACCGAAAAACAGACACAGATCAATAATTTCGAGTCATACGTCACCGCTGTTTGTTTTGCCTCCCCCCCCCCACCCCCCCCCCCACCCCTCACCCAAGCGTACTTTCACCCCTTGCAATATCGTCGCAGGTCATCTCGGCATTGGCTCTCGCATCGTGTTGCTCGCCCCTGGGGTTAACAGCCCTTGCTTGGTACACGACACCGGCAATTGAAGCCTCGGATTGACTGGCCAATCCTTTGTGGCCGTCGGGCTGCCTGTGCTTGCAGGGCTGTCGAGGGGAAAGGGATACTCATAGATTTATTTTCTCTTTTTATCTTTTTCTTTTTTTGTTAGATGTATTATTAGGATAGTATCTTGCTTGGCTCTCTCTGTGTGGCGAAGTGATATCGATATGGTGTTTCGCTAAAATAAATTCTCGGTTTCTCTCTCTCTCTCTCCTTTAAAGGGGGTATCGCCTCTCCCTTGTGACTAGCCCAAACATATTCATCCCGGGTGCTGTGATTGTACTCGAATTGAATTCACATCCAATCTTTTCCTCGTCACACTCACTCATGCAGCTGCGTATGTCCGTTTGTGTTTAAATTCCCGTGCAAGCACACAGTTTTCGTGTGTGTGTGTGTCTGTGTGTGTGTGTGTGTGTGTGTCTGTGCGTGTATGTGTGTGTGTTTATGTGTGTCTGTGTCTGTGTGTGTGCATGTGTGTGTATGTCTGTGTGTGTGTGTGAACAGACGCGTTTCCAACTCTTTTTTCGTTTTGTCTTCCATTGACATTCACTGTATTCACGCCCACCTTTTCCCCAG